GTTGCGCTCTATTGAATAATAAACGCTGTAGACGATTACCGACGAATTCTAATAACTGACTCGAGAAAATTAATTGCCCTATTATATTATTATATGTATATGTATTATTAACGTGAAATGACATTATACACAATTGAAAATCACATTATAAGTCCAATGTACAAGTAAAACAATAACCACTGATTGAAGAAATGAACATGCGTGGTCGAATCAACTCAAAGCTTACATCTGAAAAGTTATATCAATTGAATGTCGTAAAACTGTAAACATTGAGTTTGATATAAATGCATCGACATGAATCATGACAGACAATGTGTTACCGCAGCATTGGTGTTGTTGTTGGAAGGCGATAGTCGCTGAACACTTAGTAAATAAAACAATTCAGTAATAATGATAATGAGAATGAGAATTGAAAAGTTTTTTTGGCTTTTTAAAATTTATTCACAGTTATTATTCAAACAAATAACATTTTCAAAGAATTCACAAATTTCTTAGCTTAGGAACTTCTCAATGTCCATGGCGATGAAGTCGGAAATATACAAACAATCGTATGAATGGCGGTAATTAACCTAGCTCGCTATGACCCACCAGAAATGACCGAATTATTCCCTGTCACATGATCAGAACATTCCTAACTCTCCCCACACGTGATCCTGTCAAAAACATGAAATTCTCGATTTTATAGACTTAGCTATATATATATATATCGATATATACCATACATACAAAATCGACTGACTGACTTGAGTAAAATGAAATCATCGCGATGACTGGCATTCACTTTTCGTCAGCGTTGCCTCGTATTGCGGCGACAGAAGTCAATGGTAACCTTGTATTGAGATTACCATTCACCCGTATCGTTTTTGTCGTGTCACTGCTTGTAGATGGTCGACGACCACGCGAAGGCGACACATAACGAAATTCTTCAGATCTTTCTGAAATATACAAATGGACAAACATATGTAACGTTGTAACAAATGTAATAATTCGTTACGTTGTAAGCAATTTAATCGTATGTAACGTTTGAATAATGTAAGTAGTGATGTATCTAATGTAATAATAGGGAATTTATTAATTGTTAGCAGTATTCCAATGTAATCAAAGGTAGCACTATAATGATAGGTAACGCTGTGTGGTATAAAAGTAATGTTGTAACCTATTTAGTCACAAGAAATGACAAATGTAATGCCCAATATAATGTTGTCAAAATTTAGTAATAAGTATTGTTATAACAATGTATTTATAAGTAATGTTATAACAATTTAAGTCTTAGATATTGTAACCATAGTTAACATTGTAGCCAATTTAGTAATACGAAACTTTCTAACAATGTCATTATATGTAACGCTTTAACCAATGTAATTAGAGGTCACTTTGTAACTAGTAAGTTGTAATCATGTAATTATCAGGTAATGTTGTAATAATGTAGTCATTGGTGTTGTTGTACCAATGTAATAGTACGTAATTTAGTAACAATGTATTATTGCAACGCCGTAGATAACGTCGTAACCAATGACGCCACAGGTAATGTAACCCATGTAATCATAGATAACCCTGTAGCTAATTTAATAATAGATGGATATGTAACAAATACATATGAAGTAACGATGTAACTAATGTAACCATGTGTAACTTATCAGTATGCTATCAGGTAATGTTGTAACAATGTAGTCTCAGGTAATGTAACAATATAATCATAGGGCACGTTGTAATCATATGAAATGTAACCAATGTAACTACAGGTAACGCTGTAACAATGTAATCGTAAGTAACACTGTAACCATTGTAGTCACAGGTAATATTGTAACAATGTAATTACTAAGCAGGTCGTACCAATGTGACCATTGCTAACATCTAATCACATGGCCTGTAAGGTAAGCAATTGTAATTGTAATTATAATTACTGTAACAATGTAATCACTTGAATTGTAGCCAATCTAACCAACACATGATGTGTACTCATATTAATAACTCGATAATCACTTACACGAAAACTTCCATTCAGGAAACCGTATATGAAAGGATTCATGAAACTGTTTGACATGGCCAGGAATAAGCAGCAGCTCTGAGTTATTCGCAAAATATCCTGTGTGGCTACCTCGTAGTACAAATCTGGAACGATTCGGTTAACTATGTTGAACATGTGGAGTGGAAACCAGCAACCAGCGAACAGTACAACAATAAGTACTAACATCTTGATTGTCTAGAAAGAAATAACACCGAGTGACTTGTTAGTTGTGTATTGATGACCATTTATTGATTTCTCAGATTTCATGCTATTTCTGTAGATATTTATATCCCATAACTGCGACATTTTCAATATGATACCATAATTTGTGCAGTGTTTATCAGGTTTTTGGACTACAATGTACCCATGCTTGCAATATTTTGGAGATAAAATCGAAATATTTTTAATGATTATGAATTCGCACCCAGAGGATACCAGGAAGTGTTGCCTCGTTTTGAGGTCACGCATAACGTAACTGGTACAGTATGAATATACATGCATCGCAAGTGTATGTGTTCCACTTTTGCCCAACACGAAATAAACAAAATTAAACTCATATCAGCGACGTTTGATGATAGGGGAACCACACTTGCAACTCACTTTTTTCTTGGATTTCATCTGCGACAAGTCTCTAGCACGATCGGCTACACCAGGTAAACTTCTCCCCCAGAGGCGTCTCCCAACGCGAAAATACGTAAAGGATATTACGCAGAGTGGCACCACATATGTAAGTATCAAGATGGATATTTCGTAGACCATTCCTGAATAATGGTCGACTCTCTCAAAGCAGAAATAAACAATATCACCCGGTACTTCCACGAAATCGTTGAGATCGTAACTTTGGGAGCGGGCTGTTATAAGAGGAATCATAGACAGTAACATCGATACCAACCAGATAAGAGATACAACGTATTTTGCTCGGTTCTTGGTCGTTCGTAGTTTAAGAGGATACAAAACGGCATAATATCGATCGATACCAATGGCAGTCAATGTATAAATGCTGACGCATATCGATACCTGTTATAAAAACAAAAGAATACACATGAAAACAACATGTTGTGAATTTAGTCTTATTATAAACAGTCATTACATTCGGATTACATAAGTATGCATGATAAATACTCCCGACCTTTACCACGTGCTATATGTATGAAATAATTGATATGCTACAAGCATATACATGTTTTACGTATATAAAGGTAGTTCGCTACCATTGAAACTTATCAGTGGCGGCGACTGAGGCGGGGTGGGAGTGGTGGTGGATCGCCCCTTCTAAAAATGTTGAGGGGACGTTGCCTCTCCAAAATCAAGATGTCAGCATAATTTGCCTCTAAAAATGCATTGCAGAGGGTCTAGATTTTCTAAGGGGCAGCATGTCCCCGGACCCCCTAAAAGGTCGTGCCTTCGGCGCGAGGTTGGTGAGCAGATCTCGCCCCCTTGCAAAATGTTGTGCCGCCGTTTCTGCATATAGAAAATTGATCACAGTAAATCATTCAGAAATTGTTGCGTAATACTTGTACGTCATTCATATTTACAATTTTCACAGAGAAAGAATGACGAGTTTCCAAGAAAGCATATGCAAAATAATATAAAAAGCTGCCATTTTGGAACATTTCCCAGAGGAGTCCATGTAAACACATTATTCCATGGATAACTGATATTAAAAATTCTCCCATTAAAATTCCTATGTAGCGCTAGGTTATTTAGCATAGGTCACCGAACACAATTTTGAGATAAGATGGAACGTTTTTGTCATAGGAACCAATTGTAAACTATTAAAAAAACGCATTTTTGATAAATTTTCGAAGTCCTTTTTAACGTGTTGAGTTAACCTGCTGACAGGCAATCAGACAGACTAGCAAACCATTTGGGTCGGCAAAATAGAAGTAACTATGACACACTAATTGTAACATTGCCACTGAAATGTGTATAGTACATGGCAACATTAGTGCTTTTATTTCTACATGGAATGTCATGCTAATAAATTTTGTTCTCCCAGCAGAATCTTATTTTATCCAAGACACGTGTAACCGTGAATGTGTTCATTGACATTCATACATGTACAAATAGCGCAACGTGCCTGGTCAACAAATTTACCCTTATGAAGGTTGCGTACCCAAGGTGTATTCGAGCAATCTGGTGCATTTGTACAATTTATATAGTCGTGCATGCGAATTCCATGTAAGTGAACATCATGTTTGACATAATTCGTATACATCGTACTATAACGACCATGATATAACGACCATGCAAAGTGCCTCTGATTATTCTGAACGGATACAAAATCAGGCAAGCGGAAGATGATGACAAAGAGACATTAGTTGAGTGCCGAAGGAACTTCTTTTAAAAGGTCAGCTCCATTACACTTATTTCTACTCTGACGTTGTAATTCTTGGACACGTATCATTGAGCAACATGTTCTTTTTAGTAATTCACACAGACGTTTGTATTATCTATAATCTACACTCAATATGACAGAATATTCATGTATTTGAAAGAGGGTTCCTGTATATGGAGCATAGATGTGAAACCTTGAATGGGATTGACATAAACACGCAATATACTAACTTGTTTTGCGCACATACCAGTATGTTTCTAGATCTACGGCAGTATCGAAGGGGTGATTATTACATTCTGTCGTCGGCAAACACCAAACGAAAACTAAAATAATCAGAAACACAATTTATCTGTAAAAAAGAATCACAATAAATTTTCTTTCTTGGCTTAGTTTGGTTAAATTATGGGAAGACATCGCGTGTTTTTTTAAGTTTATAACGTTTTGATTGGGCTTCCTTAATGAAGTTAAATTGTATATACAAATTCTGAAACCTTAGTATTTTCTAAGTGTATTTATGTGATGAAGGGAATCAATAGATACCACTTCTTATAATGTGTCTCTTGTTCATTGTCTTGCTTCGCAATTTGACTTACAATTAATAATTTTGCGTTTTTTAAACATTTTGAGAAGTAGATATGTTTTCTAGCTAGTACATTTATAACATTTACTTGCCAACTATATTCAGGAATCCCCAATATCAAGCAAAATATATTTGGCACACTACTAAGCTGAAGTGCTCCACCTAGATTTACAAAGATATCTCGCCATAGGGATACTACAAGCTTAAATGACATAGGGAGATATTCAAGAGTTTCTTGGTGACCATTACAAAAAGTACATTTTTGTTCCGGGAAACGTGGATTAAATTTGTGCAGTTTGTAATTAGTATACAAAATATCGTGTAAAAGCTTGAACTGAAATACTCTGTTTTTTGTGTGTCTGTTTTAATTTTATTTTAATCATTTTACTCATTACGTGTTTGTTGTCTCATACGTCAACCCCATTTTTCTATCGCAGGATCCATGGCGATGATTGAGTAGGCAGCCGACGACCGAATGTAAATAACTCTCACTCTGACAACACAGTGGACATGGGACAAATGTACGATCTATGAGTTCTATAGAATGAATAGTAGCATATGAAAAAGATTTTAAACAAGATTTGGGGGTTAATCTGAAAAAAATAATCTTCAGCTTCATCCAAATTTAGTTATGACCTCATAGAAATGGAAATTCAGAAAAATTTACAAAATTAGATATTTTTTTCTTTTTATAATCGTAAGCAATAAATGACCAATATGCTTAGTATTAGGCGAGTTGTCAACTTGACCTTTCACCTAGATAATTAAATTATTTATTAAATGTAAATTTTAAGTTGTACCGTTTCCATTCGAACACAGCATACATTCTGATAATAATTGAAAACTCTACAGTTTGATCATTAATCTTACTAAGACGTGAATAATTTCTGAAATTTCACCGTCGTTTGCGCATGCTCCTGTGTACCATGTGCTGAATTTTGAATGATATTGATTTACCAAGCAGATCACTGAGAAGAGAACCAATCTCACGCCATGTTAATACACTTTCCTTTGTGCCATCAGACGGAAGGAGAATCCGTTACTGTGGAAAGAGGGGTGTTGTAAGGGCGTAATTATTGTCCAGATAAGTTTTAATTATTAAGACATATATTGTTCTGAAAATACAACATTTACTACCACACCTAATATTATACTAATATATGTATTTGAATGAACATTTGCATTCCTTATGTCTCTATCAACAACATGTCCCTTACAATCCAATGGGAATACACACAAAGGAATACATGCCATATAAATGTTAGCTGGACATATGAACACTAAGCGAGAGAATGTTGTATCTAATGAATTTTAATTAGCTTATGTTTGACGGCTGATTCGTGTTCTGCCTCCAAGACACCTTAGTTTTGATTTTATAAAAAGCAACCCTATTATTGATGTTTACTATTATAAAACTAGATTTTAATTCATATTTATTATTACCAGCTTAAAAGGCTAAAATAATGACGTAATCACACATTCCTAGTGAATAAAACAAACTGAATGCAGAGAAACGCTAGAGGCGCATGACTCGGCCAGCAAAAATGAAGGCAATTTAACAACGCACACCAAGTGTATTGAACTTCACTCGGGACTTTGGCCCTTGTTTTGTTCCTCTAAACGATTCTTATCCTAATCTTACCTTATCCTATATATACAGATGTATGTATGTACCACTTTTGAATGTAATTGCATACTAATAAAAATATACAGAAAAAATAAAATGACCTCGAGTCTCACACATTGGATCAGATCATTATAATTATTATAATTATCTCAAGCAGTTTTATTGAGATTGGCCAAACCATCTCTGTGAAACCATTGTGAACACGTTAATACATGATGATTTAAAGCGGGGGGAATCGCCATCTGCTCATGCGTCAGATGGCCATAGCGTGACGTTGTTTACAAACAAGCGTCTACCAGTAAGCCTTTGCGTTTTTTAGCGTGTGTTGTTATCGTCGCTTGGGACTCAATTCCGCGCGTGCGCAGGTGACGATCCTCCCGTTTTAACGATTTTGAGGTAACATGTAAAATTACAGGCACATTTACGAGCACATACACACAACACGGAATTAGAACAACCATGGGCTTTAAGTCGTTTTTGATAGAATCACACAAAAAAATCGTGCGCATATTTAACGCCTGAAGAAAAGCCTGTGTAATTACTTCGAATATAATCGCATCTCGAATCGGATCTTGTTAAAATTAACGTAAGTCTGTAACTCAATATGCATTACATCATATCTAGGTTTATTGCAATCGGAAAACTAATCTCAAAGAACCGGTTGCACACATGTTCACGTATTAGACCTATATTTTGTCACGGACGTGTTATTTTAACGTACTATAAAATATAAAATGTAGTTGTAGAAGTTTTCATTTTGGAATAAACAAAACAAATTACAGACGCACATTCCAATTTCGCGGTTGGAATTCTAGAATTATTGTGTACGAATAACCCTCAATAGGTTGTTTCTCTTATCACATACACAAATTTTATTAATATTCATCGTACTAGCCGTAGTTGCAAGTAGTTTTTTTTCCAGTGATAACTACTTCAGGTAAGTACATCACTGTTTCACATCAAAGAAAAAAAATGTCTCCCGTGTCATTGTCAATCATTTAGTATCCATTAACAGAATCGGCAAACCATCGTAACTGTATTAGGCTGACATTAGGGAAGACACTGTGCTGATGAATCCGCTTGTAGATTTTAACCATATTATTTTACAAGCGTTTCAATTAGTGTTTAGCAGTGTGTATGCACATCGATGTAGATGTACTCCGTTCAAATAATTGATCAATGCTTGTTGGTTTTATCTTTGTTTTTGAGTTAGAATTCAGCACTTTCCTATAGTCATGAGAAGATTTTTAAATAATATGTTTTTTTTTTTTATATTTCTCTTAATGCATTTTTTTATTCAATGCATTATGGGAATTTGCTTATTAGATGAATAGCATGGGCAACATATAGGGTTATGTCATTGAGAAGTTTGGTTTTTGGTTCGAATTTGTCTTTAGTAAAACAAAACTGTTATAGAACATATTCCCATTTTTTACATCCCACATTAACTCCCAGACAACATGACCTTTGAC